TGGGCATGCCTGCCTTGTTGAAGAGCGAGCCTGAATAAGTAGAAATAGGTTTTATTTGAAATTGATTACTTAAACTCTTTAGCAAAGTATTTTGGCACGTTCTCTGCGCAGTGCTTTTTGTTACATACGGGATATAACATTTCTAACGTCTTTGAATCCCATTCCAGCCCTGGTCGTTCATGAATGATTGCTTTGCCGTTGAAATGTTACCTAGTCATCCGTCTAGTTATTTTCTATTGACTTATCTTCTCACAAACATAAAAGCATCTATGCACTGCAGTGCACAACACTGAAGATATATAAGTCATGAACATCAACTATTTAACTTAGTCCACACTAACTGTTCCAAACAATGATTTTTGCCAACATAGCTTCCAATGGATGAGGAGAAACCAAACCTAACAACTTTAATTCACATTGTGATGGTTAAAAAGCTTTAAATTCCTCATCCCAGCAACTCACTTAAACTGCACACGTGCAGCCATTATGAAGCATATTAATTGCTAATGCATGAGATTTACCAGTCCGATCTCATGAATCGATTGTCTGCTGATCCTCGTCGTTAACGTCACGTGCTCCTCTCTGCAGGCCTGTATACAGTAGCCAGAGTAAAAGGCCACTTTTCCTTCGACACAATACGGAGCGATTAGGATTAAACGTGAGCTTGAAACACAACAGCTAATATTCCAGTGCCAGATAGCCATGGAATTGAATTACTGCACAAATGAGGAGAAACAGTGAGTGGCAAGAAAAGAATGAGAAATGTCTAAAAGCAGTTAGGTGTGCGCTGAAACAGCAGAGATGGGACAATTTTCTGTTTTTATAAAATGCCTGCATTTTTTTTTTCTACGTGCTTAAGTGCAAAACGGTGTCAGCCTATATGTCAATGGCAAACTAGCAGACCGAAGGCAGGGAAATGGCCTTGTGCATCAGTCATACGATTGCAGACGCTCAGTGTACTGTAAGCACCAGCACAGCTCTTCCAAAACTCTCCTGTCCTTCAGCGCCGGTGCATTGCCGTGGAGCTGTCAGAGCACTGGAAAAGTCTCGGGCTGAGAGCACTGTGAATATCCGGTTTCTTCGCTGGGTGTCGGTAGTTTGATGCGTTGGGTTGGCTGACATGTCACATCAGATGAGATATCGAGCTCGCTCGCTTCTCACAGCTAGAGGTGAGGGAGACGCCATCATCGATCTCCCTGATGGCTTTGCTCTCCCATCCCCTTCAGCCTGTAGCTGACAGTGGCAGACTCTGAGGGTACTGCCCGAGATGAGAGGAAGGGGTACACAGCGTTTGTGACAAAGAGAAGCATTTGTTAGTAGTGGTAAGATGTAGATGGGACAGG